CTGTCACATCCTCCAGCCCCTACACCCCCTCCCTATCTCTGTAACCTCCTCCAGCCCCTACACGCCTCCCTATCACTGTAACCTTCTCCATCCCTTACACCCCTCCCTGTCTCTGTTACTTCCTCCAGCCCCCTACACCCTTCCCTATCTCTGCTACCTCCACCCTACAATCCTCTCCAGTTCCATAACATCTTCTAGAACCTCCAACCCTATCTCCATAACCCCTTGATCCCCTAGACATCTCCCTATCTCTGTAACCTCCTCCATCCCCTACAACCCTCCCTATCTCTGTAACCACCTTCATCCCTTACACCCCTCCCTATCTCTGCAACCTCCTCCAGCCCCTACACCCCCTCCATATCTCTGCAACCTCCTCAAGCCCCTACACCCCCTCCATATCTCTGTAACCTCCTCGAGGCCCTACACCCCTCCCTGTCTCTGTAACCACCTCCATCCCCTAAACCCCTCCCTATCTCTGTAACCTCCATCATCCCCTACACCCTCTCCCTATCTCTGTAACCACCTCCATCAGCCTACGTCAGTAACATTTTCTAATTTCGATATTCTTTGGGTACAGCCATGTTGAAGACTGGGAAGGCAGGAAAAGCTGTTCCTGATTCTGAAGAACACCACCATACACCATCACTGTGCTTCAGCCCAGTGTCTGTCTGCTTGCTCCTATTCCCCTTTGATGTCTCGATCCTGGCTTTCCCTCCAATACTGCCGGGGTGTATTTTACCGACATTCCTTCATGGTTCCAGGTCGTTCCCCGTTAGCCTCTCGGTTCCCTCATTAAAGCAGTCATTGGTTCACACAATCCAGCTTCAATCAGCATGTGCTGGGTTTTATTGTAAACCATTTACAATCTCCACCTCCCACCCCTCCCAAACAGCTCCGTGGCCGTCCTTCCTCCCAAATAAATGCTCAACAACACAGGTTAGCAGCAGTTATCCCGGGGAGGTTAGGGATGGTCACATCCTGTCAATGGATCGATATTGTTCATGCGGCTGTTAACTGTCTCACATCACACCCCCATTCTTCAAAGGAATCGGAACACAAGGTTCAGTCAACTGCTCATTGACTCCTGGGTTAATCCTTACCCCCTCTGGGGCAAATGGTGAACAGTTACACAGACTGCCCTTGTTTCAGTCAAATGTTCTACCAGACCGCTTCACTTCAAATCTCCCCTAGACGCTCCCCTCGCTCAGATTCTCCCCTCAACTCCTACTCCCCTCCCTCGCTCAGGCTCCCTCATCCCCAGGGTATTGAGGGACTGGGGAAGGTGGGGGTGCTCACAGTGCTTTGGGTGAAACGCAGGAAAGCAGAAACTTTCCAGTGAAGAAAGGGTAAAAATTATTCTCCTTGAGTGATTTACCTCCAGACTGAGGGGACAGGGAACGCCCATCGATAAACCACCCCAATCTATGGCAGGACTGGGCGGGAGGAGGGGGTTAAGAGAGGAGGGGGTCAGGGAAGGAGGGTGTGAAAGGAGGGGGAAGGAGAGGGGGAGGGGTTGTTGTGAGGGGAGGGGGTAATTGCAATGAGCTACAGCTATAACCCCTCCATCCCCAAACTCTCCCCTGCCATTTGGTGGTCAATGCCCCCTCCCTCAGCAGCGGTCAGTGTGGGCAAGGCTCCTTCCTGGGCTGTGGTCAGTGGTGGGCAGTGCTCCCTCCCAGGCAATGGTCAGTCGTGGGCAGTGACCCCATCCCCAGGCAATGGTCAGTGGTGGGCAGTGCTCTCTCCCTGGTCAGTGGTCAGTACAGCTTCATCCTGGGGTACACCCAGGGTTCGGGGCTTGTGGGTTCCCAGGTGGGTGTCTGAGGGGCTCTGTCCCAGCCTGGCACCGGAGAGTCGGCCCACTCCAAGGCCCCTGAAGGTGGGTAATAAAAGGCCAGGGGAAGGGGCAAAGCCCCTGCCCGGGCCTGAGCGGGATACAGCGGGGGTGCCAGGCCAGTGTTGGTGTAGACGAACCGGTGCCTCCTTGTAGCCACAGCGGATTCTCTTTCCCCCTCCAGCCCCTGGGGTTGGGACACATTGACAATATCGCCCAGGGGCAGGCCCCGATTCCTGTTCTCCTCCGGATTGCTAGCGGCTGGGCCCCGTAACCGTCCGGGGAAGCAGCTGTGGCCTACTCCGCCCAGGGACTCCCAGCCTCTCGCCTGGGTGCCATGGCCATTGGGCGTGGCGGTGATTCGCAGCAGAGATGGCTCCTGGTTCCTCCCTGTCTCGCTGGCAGCTCTCGTTAGCAGATCCCAGGCGCTATCTGACCAGCTCGGACAGAGCAGGGGGCTCGGAAATATGGTGCCACCCGCTCGGGCCCTCTGGAAGGGCCCAGCATTCGCCCACAAGCGTCGCGATGAAGGCAACTCCTGGGCCTGGCACCTAGGCCTCAGGAGGCGGGTAGAGGCCTGAGAAGCAGCAAACAGTGTGGTCCCGTCAGTCACTTCCTGCTGGAGACATGCAGCTGGAGAGGCTGCAGCGGCACGGACACAGACTGAAGGTGTGCCTCCAGAGAAACCACCACACTGCTGCTGTCTGTACAAAACGCCATTCACCTGGGGATCAAGCCAAATGGAAGGTGTTAGCGAGAGACTAAGACGCTCAGCAAGAGATAGCAGCTGGAAGACAGGCTGATGCTGGATGATCAGATTCACAACCAGCATTACAGGTGAAGCTGGAAGATAAACTACACCTCAACTCACTCTCACATTCACTGCCCTCTCTCTCTCACACTCACACACACACACACACACACACTCTCTCTC